CGGTCGAGACGGACAAGGTCACGGAGTACTACGTATCAGGGATGACAGAGACTGGCGATAAGTATAGCCAGTGGGTGAGTTCCGTCCGGACGGTTTGGGAGAACTCATACAAACAACCGACGAATGCATCTGGTTATAGAATGACCATCAATTATATCCGAATTAACAAAGTATCATATCGCTTACCGGCCGCTCGAGAGGTATATGAAAACTCTCGAAATGCGGTTATACAGTCAGCGTGTGACCTCGCTGCAACATATCAACTTTTACTTCACCCCGACTCATGCAAGTATCTCACATATACCACAGCTGATGGGAAGTTTCATCAGCCACGTTGTTGTCTACAAGAAGGAGTTGAGAATGGCTGTTATGATACGCAGCACTACATGAACACAACGTTTGCAATCATCAAGGCATTTAAGGACTACCTTGATGGTGGGAACATAGACCACAAGCAACGGATGCGGCAAACCATTCTGTATTTTCTCGAAGAGCACTGAAACGATCTATTCCGTTTCGTTAAGATATATATAGCGAAGAATATACAGCTCCGGCCCCTAAAATGTCAACCGGGCACCTTGTTTGATGTTGATATGGTGTTTTTTTGGGCGGGAGGAGATAATTAGAACTCAGCTATCCTCTATATCCGTGCACAAACTTTTTTTGATCGACCGCGGCCATCGAATAGACAGGATTTGGTATCCCTTCTTGCAGTGTTATACTTGTTGTCTATATATATCCCAGGATTTGCAGACAGTGCAGCGGTATCATATGACCTGGTCCGTAAAGGTGTATTTTTCCGTTGGGACACCACACATCAGGTCACATACTCGTATCTTATTTTAGCAATCGGGGCAAGTATATGTCTTTATCAACCGCTTCCCCACCAGCGCATTGTAGTTACTCTTGATGCGAGCAACAGAGGAGTATGGGCAGGTATTTTCGTCCAAATTTCTCCTCCAGGTACCCCAGAGTCAGACGAAGAACAGGTTTATATATTGGAGTGCAATGACTACCGACGGGGCCTGGGCTTCCCACCGGTAGATATTCATCCCCATGTGCCACGCCTAGCACTACTTAATCGGGAGACGAATGGTCAATTCCTCCAAGCAGGACGTGTGACGGAGATCGAAATTACTTCGCAGGAACCGCAAGTGAGCGACTTGGCTACCTTTCCGAAAGTAGCATCGATATCATTCGTGTGTGCGGCACATCTAGTACGCCCTGTGCACACACAATCACAAGTTTTCGAGTACCAAGACTGAATCATAACCCCAGTACTAGCTAGCCGAGCCGGAGATGATCATATGTTGACCGACAGGGCAGATGGGTTGCTGGAACCACTGCACGCGGTACCTCTATATGATTGTCTGCTCGAGGACGCCCAATCGCCAACCGACCAGTCTGCAGTCCTGACAAAGACTCTGCAGGTTTCGGAGCAAGTTCTGGCCTCCGAGCTACACCACACCGAACCCTTGCTGGTCACGGACCAGACAACGGCTTTCCCTCCACCTATTGTATTCTCTGACGACATAGACGAACCTATATATGCTATTCGTGACAATTGTCCAGCGCATCAATTATTAAGAGCTCCTGGCCGTACTCGGATACGACCAGAATCACCGACACCAGACATGACTCAACTGCCGGAACCACCTAAAGATGTAGGTACTAAAATAGGTCACTTCTTCCATATCTATCCCATGATCTTCATCCCCAGTAAGCTGAATGATGCCAGCTATGATAAACATCCCGAGATATGTTTATTATTCGTCTCGCGGTGAGGAAGATAGCTTTCTTGTGCCATCGATCTTTCCGTGATACAGTGATCATCGCGGATCACAAACCAACACAGAATATGGTCACAACTCCGGGCTCATACTTGTATTCGAGATCGGTTTTGCACCAGCGCTGGCTGCGTAGCTGAACTGAAGATATCAATGAGATCCGTATCAATATATACTACGTGCCAGACACACTCGCGGTTTTCGGTGACTATTTTTCTCGATGTTTAGATATTACCGATAAACTGTTGGCAGTTGCGGGCTCCCCTGTTGATTGCACCTCACAGGGGCCACCACAGATACCGAAGGTCACAGTGGCTTTTGCGAGTACCAGCACCACGCCCGGTCGTACACACGTTTCCTTAGCTCAATTTACGGACTGGGTTGTGCCACTGGATACATCCGATATCGAAGGTTCGTATCTGAGCTTCAATTGGGTCGATCTGGCCCAGCAGCTATGGGGACCTTTCCATATTGAACTATTTGTTAGCCATGAGGATCATGTGCTAGATGTCAACTGTACCAAGGATGGCACAGGAGCCTATGGTAAAGATGCATACACTGTTGATATCATGCTACATGAACTCCCCTTGGCGGGAAATCGACCAATTTGTGCACACAGAGTATTGTGCGTCCCCTTTTGACCTAACGAGCCGTGGTCTGCCCTGCTCTTTTCGCTTATCCATAGCACCCCCAATTCTTCCCCAACGCAGCATATACCTTTTTACACTAGGGATGGCGTTCGGGAGGTCCTCCTAACTGGCAGTACATTGTACTCGCCCACGTTAAAGGGGCACAACCGTTATTTCGTGTACGACAGGCCTTTTGGCTTCGGGTAGGTCTCTTGAAGCCCTCTAGTGTCTCCATGCCATAGGATACACACCTATCCCTTGTCTAGTGGCTACCAGTGTATTGGGACGCAGGTGCTCCCACTTCATCCTTATACACAACAAAGTCTAATCGCATCCACCGAATGGGCGGATAGCCTCCGTGTACGTCTCGCTCTGCGGGAAGTTTTTGAAGACGAACCTCTCACTCCAGCACAACAACGTTTGGACGCGGACATGCACACGGAGCATTTACAACAGGAGGGTGCTGTCAGCGACGTTCTGGTATATCAGAACCGTACTATGGACCAGAATGCGCTTGCCACTCCTCTAATCCCTCTATCCCAAGTCATACCGCACCGACCAGATACTGATGATGATCTGGATTCCGCACATGTATCAGTGGTCGAGGAGGCATCTATTACTGGGTAACTCCAACGCCCGGCATCTCTCTCTAATTGGATGCAATCATAAGAAATTACACCGGAGGAAATGCTTGCTCGACATCCGCTTATGGAGCCTACTGACGACACCCTGATATCACCCCCGATGATCCGATACCAGCCTGACATGTCAGAACTGGGCCGCCAGCGGGACCATGCCATTGTAGATTATACGGGGGACCTGGCAGGTATCGGGGACGTTTTCGACTTCACTGCGAGTTTCTTTCCTTTCCAGGATGTGCCGCTCGGCACTGCAGCACGAGTGTCAGAGGCCATGAGTGGCGACAATGTGAATGTGCGCTCTCGTCAGGTCACGGCTGAGCCACCTGCTGGATCTCGAAACACTGGATGTTCATGCTCGGGGCTGGGCGGAAGCAATAAAGCCTGGCGCCCGCACACAGCACCGGGTTACAATCGAACCAGTAGTATTAGCGGATATTACTGAGGTCTTCGACCTTCTTTGTATGGACCAACCGGGTGGGCCAGAGATGGTCCTTTGCGTGTTATGGATATGGCACGATGGCTACAGCCGCCTGTTGCCCAGCGCCTCCGTGCACCTACGTAGCAGAAGTGTGCTAGGAATATTTATAGTGCTCGTCATGTGGCGACTACTTCAGAGCTTGTTTACCAACAAAGCTCACACGTGGTCATTTACAGCAACCTGACCGGCCCACCACTATGGGCCACGAAGTTAATCTGAAATACCTGTCTGTTCAGGTGGATGCCGATAACTATAGGTCGATTATCTTGGCACAGGATGGTTGCACCCTCTGTGCTCTTGCACAACCCCTACACCAATCAGAGAATATCGCGGGTGCCCTGATTGACTGTTGTATCTCTCAACTCTTGCCGCGGGGCCATGTCCAAGCATATGTTGTGGACAAGGCTAGTGTATTTATATATGATAAAGTCGAACGATATGTGAAAGAATACAATGCACACATCCACCCGGTTTCCACAGAATAACACAGTGGAAACTATTGAAGTCCTTGCTCGTACTGTTAAATACTAGCAAAACCGATCACTAGATGTTGGCCTTCACCATCAGCGGAGGGCGGGCTATGGTGCCTAGATTTGTACCAAACTATGATGCTGCGCACTCTAGTGTTGTTAATATCACATCCTACGCCTCGGAGACAGGCAGGGTTCACCCTCACCACACAGATGTCCTTGTTGAAGCAGTACATAATAAAGCTCTTGGATGTTTGGACCCCACGCTTTCCATTAGCCAGATACCTCTCCTCTGTGACGAACAGGCTGTGGAGTCTGTTGCAAAGGAACGGGCAGCGAAAAAGTTGTCGGCTGACTGATACAGGATTGATGCTCCGATGATTGCGATTATGCATGTTGGGCAAACACGCATATCGCCTGGACAACCACAGTGGTTAACGCGATTATGGAACACCGGCTTACACCCTCCCTACTGGGTATAGCAAAATTATTCTAATCACCATACAAACCTACCTTCAACAAATCTACTGTACCATGTCATCGCTCAAGGAAAACACACCAGTTACCGGATAGAATTGATCGAGACTGTACCTATCAAGTAATACATAGTAGCAGATTGTTACATCGCTGCTGCCATTGAGTGTACAAGAGGAAAAGACATCATATCCCCTCGCACCCCCTTCATCGAATTAGATGAATGTAAGATGGATATGTCCGCGCACGAGTTCATAATACCTATTGTTCTCTGTCAAACCGCGGTAAAAATAAATAAATTGCCGCTAATTTTAAGTTCCATCGATGGGCTCTCAAATTGTCATATACCTCCTTGATACTGATCGTGCGTTGCGGTCAGATTGGCTTAATCCCGCGCAAGTGAGACAGTTGGAAATCGCGCACACATCCCCTCATCGAATGTCAACCCTGATAACCTGTTTTAGAAAAAGAACGCATCTTACAGAAACCATACCGCAATGGCACGACTCACATAGCTTTATATACCATATGACTGGCAAGCCAGTGTTTGTATATGATTACGTGCAGATATTTGCGATTGTCTTACAAAAGCTCATACAGACACGATTTTAATGTTCATCACAAAAGAGACTAAATAAACCGCACATACTGCTTGTTAAAGACGGTGACTCACCCAAGATACGAGCTTGCATATATCAGACAATTGCATTTATATCCAACTTTTCTGCACGGATTGTCCGGCTTGCCTGAAGGCGTCATGGTATCAGTTTAGGTTTCTGTGTGACGTGGTGTGCCCCGCAGTCCGTGTTTTGGTTTCATACTTTTACAGGCTATTATCATGCAAGTCTTTGTATCCGCCTGACTATACATTATAATTATAAATCGGCTACTTTCCTTGTACACATCCATTAGCATTGATATATCATTATCTCTCGAGAATTCCTTACCTAATTATTCGAATTTTAAGTATCTATATCATTTGAAGGTTTCGTGTCACATTTTTGTTTACCTAGATATGAATGCATGCAACAGCTCTTACGTTCTGTCCTATATGGCAATAGTTGATAATTGAGGCAATAGTTGATGCCAACGGTAGTATATGGCGCCCAGTATTATCCGATTCAACAGAATACGACTTATTTGTTGCAATTAATAGTTATGATCAATATCTGCGTTCTCGTACCACGTGGTTGTGACATCAGAGTGGGCGAACTCGATTTTGTGATGGGGTTGCTTTTGAAGAGCGAATTTCGGGCTTCTTCTATATATTGCGGTAAGGGGTCATGCCTTTCCTTCTTTCAGTGCTGAAAATAAACCAAACATTAAAATACAAATACCGAAGAACAATTTGTTTTGTTTTGCCAATTGCTCTTTTGCTGCCAAACGTTGTGTGCTACACCTATTCTTACCCGATATGATAGGAGAACCTTAATATCTTGCAATTTTATGAGATTTTTCTGACGAACACCAGAATGATAGGATTGATTTCGTGAGTATGAGTGCCTGTTGATGCTCCGGCCGTCCGGATGGAGATCTATAAATTAGCCATCCGAAGGGTCGAACGAACGACACTTCTGAACAGACGACTCAAACAGAGTATGTATGAAGGGTATAAACAACTATGCATCGGCGGTTACGATTATCACATTCTCTTTTTACACTTCCCACCACCCCCACCTGAGCAGATAGGAAGCTTCTCTATTCGCCGAAGGGTTCTCCTGAGGAACTCTCAGTGAGGCTATGTAAGGGTTTGCAGAGACATTCAACGCCCGAGCCGGTGTACTTAATGAAGTATACGTAGCTTGCCTACTTCTCAACTCAGAAATAGAACTTCGTCATACAAAAGCTAGAAGAAAGAAATACAATTGCTTCCAGCATACGCAGTGGAGGAGTGTATATCTCAATATTATTCATAAAATGAGATTAGTGACCCATATACATAATAATAAAAATTGGTTTATCTACTCGATGACTCAAGTTCAAAATATCAACCGTAGACACAAGACAGAAAAACCTCATCCACAGAGAAAATTTATATAGATATAGCAGCGCCTTGCTAGTACTCTATCATCCAGGCCCCTGCAATATAAATTTCAAATTTGGCTCCACAGAGACTTCGACGGCAACATTTGTTCACCGGGGTGAACCCGGGGGTCTGATGCAGGCTCTTTAGGGGGTTTAAATTATAGGTCTGGCAAAGTACACAAATCAAACATTAAGCACTTCAACCGACCGAGTCGTGAATACATGTCACCTTCAGTTATAGTAGGGAATGAACATCAATAAAGTTACATGTAAATATGTGTAGTGAATACGCAAAAAGAAAAGAAAAATCAAGTATAGAAACGAGGTAAGAAATGATTAAACTTAAATATAACAAAGATACACATTGACATACGACTTCTTACCGTCTGCTGGGTTGTCTTTCCGTGTTGGAAAACATTTCTGCACTTTGTAGATTTGCGATCACCAAAGGAAGATATGGGTTTGTACGGTGTTAGTCTTGCTGGGTATGCCCCGGTCACCACGCAGTATGATCAGTCATAAATGTTTTATACGCAATCATAATAAAAAATTGGAGCCTTAGGCGCATATGAATACATACACAGCAACGCGCATACACCTCTTTTCGATGTCCCCGCGTCAGGTGAGTACTGTTACTGCGCAGAGTATCGATAGTAGTTTCCAATGTGCTTATTTGAGTACACAAGGTGTTAATCGACATACTATTGACTCGGAAGTGACTGTATTATTTCTTCCATGTGTTTCACTCTATCATGCAGCATATCTTTCTCGTATTTCGCGGGCTTTAGATCTACGTGTGCTCTTTAGAGCTTTATTATACACACTTACCTCTTCGTGATGGTTTTGCTCCATCGCAACATTATATGCGTCGTTTTCATGCCTCAATATACAGATTTCGGTCCTCATTAGTCTTTCCTGGGCTGCTTCATCCTCCTCTAGGCTAGGTTGGGTCTTAAGTTCATCCGATTGTTTTCTAATAGTATTGTGGAAGACTTCTTCTGCAACCGCAGCGACTGCTGAGTTATCTTGCGCAAATCACAACTAGTGACAAATGCGGACCAGATACCCAAAAAAAAATGAGCTAAATATTGATTAAAAAAAACATATATAAACAAAAGAATTTATAAATGCACATCATAAGCCTTTGAAAGTCAGACACCAACTAACTCATTCCTGTACTCCAGCTCAATCGTTCGGCTGTTTTCCTGCATTGTAGTAATCTCCTATTTTAGATCTCATAGCCTGGCCTACAATAATTCGATATCATCCTGGGCTGGACGCGAATTCAGTGTCTCCTGTAGCTTTATCACCTCGCTTTGAAGCACTAATTGTTCGTTTAGTGAATTTTCCAGTTGCGTTTGTACAATATACACCTATAGTTGCGTCAAATGAAATCGGAAGTAGTTTTGAGCCACGCATATGGCAGATATCACACGCAGCCACATACAAACATTGTAATGTGTCAGTGGTACACGTGTGTTAGTGAGTCATTCAGA